CCGCTATGCCGCCATTTGCCAGCCATTGCACTACAGCCGTCTCATGAGGAACAGGCTGTGCATCCATCTCGCTGTGGCCTCCTGGGTCTGGGGCTTCCTGGACTCAGCGATTCACGCTGCGTTGGCCTCCAAGCTTCGCTTCTGTGGAGCCAACCAGATTCCGCAAATCTTTTGCGATGTGCCCCCGCTGTTGAAAATCGCCTGCAGTGATACGAGCATCAATGAATTGGCCACTCACATCACCAGCATCTTTGTAGGCCTGGGTCCCTTCCTCTTCATCATCTTCTCCTATTTCTACATCTTGGCCTCCATTCTGAGGATTCACTCCAACACTGGCAGGAAGAAAGCCTTCTCCACCTGCGCCTCACACTTGGTTGTGGTCACCCTCTGTGTCGGAAACGGGTTCCTAAACTACAACCGCCCAAGCACCGGCTACTCTCTGGAGATAGACACACTGATCTCCGCGATGTTCTGCATCGTCACCCCCATGCTGAACCCCCTGATCTACAGCCTCCGCAATAAGGAGGTGAAGGAAGCCCTGAGAAAGGTTCTGAACTGCTGGAGGACAGTTTGACTCTCATTTCTGGCTCTCTGTAGGGCAGGCTTCACTGGAACATGTCTGCTGGGAACAGCGAAATTGATGAGTGGGAATTAATGAAGAGGGAGAAAGTATAGACACTGACAAAGCCAATGAGATAGACTTTCCTTATTATTATGGGTGGATAACACCTTCCAAGGCATGACTGGAATGTCAGGGTGGTAAGAGAGGGAGGAAGGGGAGGTGGGCTTTGCTTAGGGAGGCACCTCATTTGCTTCCAGCCCAAGGCTAAGAAATCTCATCTAACAGCTCTCCGGTTACAGTGTTTGGAGTGGGGCAATGGTAGCATCTTGAAACCAGGAACATTTTTTCCACTGGCTCCATTGTTTTGTTAGTTTTTTGAGAGATAGGACATAGGGAGATGATAGGAAAAAGGTGTCTTTGTTGGAGACTCCAGCAGGTGGCAGCAGAGGGCAGCTTTGATGGCTCTGTGGCGTCAAGCCAATAGGAATTGCTAGGGTTTCTCTAGGCTTCCCTTTCTATGTAAATTTCAGCAATAGTGATTTCAGCCAGCAATGCTTTGTCCCATGAAACATCTTAGAAATACAAGATAATTCCCAAAATCCAAACTGTGTTTCTCCCCTACAGCCTGCATTCCAGCCTCCATTGGCCTTAGAATGTGCAGCTCTTTGGAGACCCATTTACGTCCTTTTAATTCTCTGCGGCATTCATAGAAACAACCACTGTGCTTTCAAGACGGCGGATTTGCAACTCCATAGGTTCAGCGCATGATCAAAGGTTACACACAGTTTAGAGTAAAACAAGCAACAGGTAATTATTAGCACATTTAGGAGCTTAGAATCCCTTTAAAAACTACTGTGGAAAAACCCCATGTTAGCAAGACATATTTAGCCATTTTTCCATTTTAAACCTTCATTAATACACAGGCATTTCCCATTTCTGTGTCAATTAAACCAGTTATACTTAAGAGGCCCCACCCTACAACATTGCTTCCAATCTCTTCTGCTGGGGGGAGAGATGACTTTTTCTGGGCTTTTTCACCTTTCTTCCTTAGGGGATATGACAATATCTTTAGCACAGAGGGGCAGCCATAATCTGGGACCTTCCTTTGGGCAGACTCATAGAGTGGGAAGGCGTCCCAAGAGTCATCTAGTGCAACCCCTTGCAACATGAGTGCCAGGACAGGTCTGTATTTTCTCCTGACAAGGTGGGCCTTGCTACACAACCACCCTCTCTACTCCCTGCCCACCTTCTCTGGCCCTGGGATCCTCCCACCTGGCTCTCCTCACTGGATCACCTGGAAGCAGCAGTTGACATTTCCATTCCACCTTAAGGAGCAGACGTGTGGAATTGTTGCGTGTCACATGTCTCTTTACATTCCGGCACAACTCGCTGGGAACTTCCATTGTGTGTATAGCTTTTGCTTTTGGCTGTTCTCTCTGAGACGACATGAGAGAGAGACGACATGTTTTTCTGTCCTGATTTATGCTTAATAAATCTGTAGTTGTAGTATGCTTCCACAAGCCTCACGCCTATTCTGTGTGCACAATTCGATCTGCTGATAGTGTGCCCTGGCTCACAAGCAGGGGTCGCTGATTTACGTTGGGGTATAGGTGATGGTCTCCACAGCGGGATAACTGGAAGGAGACGGCCCAGCCGGGGCTAGCCAGCAGGCCATCCGGCCCTCTGCATGACGACACTCTGGTCCTGGGATCCTCCCACCTGGCTTTCCTCACCGGATCTCCTGGAAGCAACAGCAGATTCCCCAACTGAATGTCCCCACACCAGCTGTCGGGGTCCACATTGTAGCTGCTACTGTACATCAATCATCCAAGTTCACTCCAACCCAGAGCAAACATTTCAGGTTGGAGAGAGTGGGGAAGAAGGAGGGGTGGGGTTTGCTTAGTGAGACAACTTGCTTTCTCCTAATCCGAGGCTCATCCAACATACCTCCAAGCAAAGTGTTTGGATGGTGACATCTTAAAACCATGAAGTTTTTAGAACTGGCTTCACTCTTTTATAAATTCTTTGAGAGATGAAACACCTTGCTGCAGTTGATGTGGCTGCCAATAGAGGACCATGCCAACTGTGTTGCTTGATGACCTCTTACATGTTCATGTATATGGCAAGATATATGTACAGTGGTACCTCAGGTTACATACGCTTCAGGTTACATACACTTCAGGTTACATACACTTCATGTTACAGACTCCGCTGACCCAGAAATAGTACCTTGGGTTCAGAACTTTCCTTCAGGATGAGAACAGAAATTGTGCTCCGGCGGCACGGTTGCAGCAGGAGGCTCCATTAGCTAAAGTGATGCTTCAGGTTAAGAACAGTTTCAGGTTAAGAACAGACCTCCGGAACAAATTGGGTTAAGTACTTAACCCAAGGTACCACTGTAATTATTTCCATATATAATTTTGCATGGAATTCCCGCCCCTTTAGATTATTTAAGATTTATAGCCTACTCTTCATTATTCAAACATCTATTCCAGCACTCTTTGACCTGTTGGGTCACCCTTTCTCAGCTGGTTAAATTTATTCCCAAGTCAATTAAGGTTATTTAGTTTAAGTAATTCAACAGAATTGCTGGACCTGATGATTTGACTGGAAAGCTGCGTTGCAAAATTTGGGGAGGTGTGGATTTAAATGCAAGCTGACTTGAATTTCTCCCCTGCTCTAAGATTCACCCATTTCTCCTTTGAACATAACTATTCCCTGACCCCTCGGGTCCCACCCCTGCACCCTTGGCACCAATGTTTTCTACCAAGACAAAAAACCCCGGGAGAGATGTCTTTCCCTGCGCTGCTTCATCTTTCTTCCTTGTGACGCAAATGCACACCATTCAGGGGCTCCTCAAACACTCAAGAACAGCCCTCTTCCCTGACAGAGCTGGACCCACAGGATGCAGGCAGGACACAGCCATGTTTGAGGGTCTCTGGTGGGGAGGCCAGCCATAACTTGGGACCTTTCTTTGGCAGAACATGAGTCCAAGGTGAAAGGTGGAGACCTTAAAACCCACCTAGTCTCTCTCTCTCTCCTTCTTCCATCTCTGGCACGGGGATCCTTCTGCCTGGCTCTCCTCACTGGGTGACCTGGAAGCAGGAGCAGCATCTGAAACCAACGCTCTCTACAGCCTTCCAGGAACAGCCACAGCTTCCCTCTGAGTTCATTCGGCAGGAAGATGCCAGGTGAGGAGCAGAGAAAGGAAGGGAGCCATGAATTGGCCCCCCAGACCCAAGAAAGGTTTCGTTTTCCATGCGGATTGAGGGAGGAATCACTTATCTGTAGGCACCAGTTTGTTGAAAACCATGCAGATTTTAAACTGGCTTTTGTCTAACATGGTGCAGAGTGGTTAAATGAATCAAAGAAAGGAGAAAGGGAGAAAGCAATCTGGGAAATGGGTTAATAGTGCAGGCTCTCTGATTTACAGCTGGCCACAAAGCGATGCAATCTTCCATGCAGGACAGCAAAGCTTTGAAATGCTCACGCTGGGCGCTCTCTCCCCTTGTACAGGAGCCCGGTAACGGGCTCCGGAGTGGGAGGTGCGTGGTGCTGTGAGTCGTCTGCTTCCTCCGTGCAGCAAAGCCGCACTGCCGTTATCGGAGAGCGCTGCCTTTTTCCTGGACAATTTGGCATCTAAAACATCTATCCGTGAGTACCTGATCTTGGAAGAGCTGAACCACTTTTAAGACTGGTGAATAAACAAATAATATTGGACTTGAAATTGAACTTAATTGGGACTCGGAATGGGAAGGTCTAAACAGGAAGTCGCCTTCCGTTCTTTTGTTATGTGAAGAAAGCAAAGACAAAATATACTAAAGCCTGAAAATTAAATTTTAAGAGAACTAGAATTCAACATCTAAGATTTCTGAACCCCCCCTTTGACTGCAGGAGAAAAAGGGGGTTGTATTTGGACTTTTCAATCCTGCGGAAGTGAGTTTAAAATAAAGCAATTTTCCACCGCCCTGAACCAGGAGCGGGCTGTCAGAATTGACGTTCTGAAGTTTATCCAGCTCGACAGTTAGTTAAAAGAAGGGTAACATTTTGATTCTACTGTTGCCTCTTGAATTTGGAAGGGGGAATTTTGGATAAAGTGTTTCTGGAAAAAGAAAGATTGTTGCTGTTGCTTTTATTCCTTTAAAAATAAAAAATAAAAATTTCCATCTAGTGGAATTTAGTGAAATTGCAACGCAGAGAGATTAAAAGAGAAGGACTATTGGACTATTCTCGTGGGAAAGAATTTTCTTTGACCTTGAAGGACAATGCTAGTACAAAGGCTTGAACAATTGTTCCTGGAAGGTTTTTCAAAACTAAGTGCCCAGCTGGACCAGATGCGTCAGGAGACGACCTTGATGATGGAAGTTACCAGAGCACAGCAGCAAACAAATGAAATTCAGTTAAAGGCTATACAAGCATATGAACCTGCTGTAGTGACGGAGGCTTCAGAGATGGAGGGACCTTTGGACGGGCAAGATCAGCCTTTGAACTTGATAAATGAACTTGGGACAAACCAGATTCGGAAAGATGAAATGTGGTCAGATTTGGAAATGGGGGATGGATCGACCCCCTCCATATGGTTATTTGGACCTTCCGAGTCTGGTGATGGGCTATCAGAGGATTGGAGTAGCCGAAGTCTCCAAGCTTTGTGGAAATTTGAAGTGGTATTATTTGCTGTCTGGCTTGGGCAATGGGTTTGGGATGGACTTGTTGCAAAGGGTCAAAAGCATTTTCTTGCTGGAGCATCCACGACTGGAAAGGAATCATCAACAAGAGTGGCGAAAGGGGCAAGAAAGAGACTTGAGGGCCTCGGATACGAGACAACCAGGTTAAGGAGCCGGATTACCGAGGTTAAAAGGACTGACAATCCCGGGTCCAGGGGAGGGAGGTTGGAAGCTGACTGGACTGAATTTGACTTATTATTTTTTCTTTTTACTTTTTAATATTGGGAATGCTTACAAATGTTTGAAGGATGTTGAATGAAATTACATGACTTAAGTAAGGATTGGTAAATGATTCGTAAAAAGGTAATGATGCAAGAATTTGGTAAATATTGAATATAAGCTATGAGTTTTAAAGTTTTTATATGACAAGAGGGAAAATAGAATAAGGAAACGTAATGACAGATTGTTATGAAAAAACAGAAAGGATTTGCTGTAAAAATTAAAAATTAAGAAACAAAAGAGGGGAGGAGGAGGAAGTCTAGAAAGGAAGTCAATAGAGATGGTAAAGGACTTTATATTTTTGTTTTTCTGTTTCTCTTTTTTTTTTCTTTGCGGCTGGGTTTTCTTTTCTTTTTTGTTTATGCACTAATTTTGTTTTTTGTATCCTTAAATTTTTTTTGGAAATTTTTGTTGTTATTTTTTGAAAATTCAATAAATATCAACTATAAAAAAAAAAAAATGAAATGCTCACGGTGGTAAGCAACCTGCTTGGGTTGGATTCACTCTGTCCAGAGTAGGGCTGGGCAAATCTCTCAATTTCTCATTTTTGCACAGCAGTTTGAGAATCATTTCCTTCAATCCCACATGAAGATTCATCAGCATTTTGGTGCAAAGTTCTCCCAATATATACATTTTTGTTTTGCAATTTTACCTAATATGCAGATTTTTGCAAAGAAATTCCCTGTAATATAGCCCCCCTCTCTCTATGTTATGTGCACCATGGTGTCTACTTATATGCTCACTTAACTCCATGATATGCATTTTGTACACGCTACTGGAATGGAGAACTACATTGCAAAATTCAGAGAAGTGTGAATTTCAACCAGTGCCTGTGTTCTGATTTCCATATTGTTTCAGCAAGTGCAAATTAGGTTGGGTTTCCTTTAAATGTGAGCCAAATCTAATACCATGCCCCCCAACCCTAGCCCAGAGTGATACTGTATTATGTTTCTTAAAATCCTGCCAAGGGAGGTGGCACTTTAAAAGAAGGGTTGAGTACAGAGAAAAGGGAGCTTCAAAATGCTCTGTGGTGCCAGTTTTCTGGTGTTCAGTTCTGTGTTCTACCAGTCTCTATTTCTGCTTGTAGAAATTTGCTTGCTTGCTTTTGAAAAACAAAACCCCCTCAATGTCTCTCCATGCCTGCTTTCTTCAAACCTCTGCCATTATTAAAACCCACGATTTTGGTCCCTTTCTCCCTCCACTCCTCTTTAACTTCTGCCACTGTTTCTGTAAAGCAAGAAACCATGCACTCCAACCTAGAAAGCATACAAAAGACTCTTGGTGGGACAGATATCTGTTTATAGCAGGATGAATACTATTGGGCTTCCCTCAACACCACTTTTCCCTTTTTTCAGATCCTCCTCTTTCCTTCCTCATGGACACAGAGAATCAAACGCAGGTGGAAGAGTTTATCTTCTTGGGTCTCTCCAGAGCCCCGAGCAACCAAGTTCCCTCTTCTTGGTCTTCCTAGCTGCCTATTTGGCCATCGTCATGGGCAACCTCATGATATTAATTGTGGTCCTGATGGATTCGCGCCTTCACAGCCCCATGTACTTTTTCCTCAGTCACCTGTCTTGCTTGGACATTTGTGTTTCTTCTGTCGTTGTGCCAAAGATCCTGGTGAACTTCCTGCGCCAGAGTCACACCATCTCCTACAACCAGTGCTTGGCACAAGCTTTTTTTCTGATTGGCTTTGCTGGATGTGAGCCTGCCCTGTTAGCCGTCATGGCCTATGACCGCTATGCCGCCATTTGCCAGCCATTGCACTACAGCCGTCTCATGAGGAACAGGCTGTGCATCCATCTCGCTGTGGCCTCCTGGGTCTGGGGCTTCCTGGACTCAGCGATTCACGCTGCGTTGGCCTCCAAGCTTCGCTTCTGTGGAGCCAACCAGATTCCGCAAATCTTTTGCGATGTGCCCCCGCTGTTGAAAATCGCCTGCAGTGATACGAGCATCAATGAATTGGCCACTCACATCACCAGCATCTTTGTAGGCCTGGGTCCCTTCCTCTTCATCATCTTCTCCTATTTCTACATCTTGGCCTCCATTCTGAGGATTCACTCCAACACTGGCAGGAAGAAAGCCTTCTCCACCTGCGCCTCACACTTGGTTGTGGTCACCCTCTGTGTCGGAAACGGGTTCCTAAACTACAACCGCCCAAGCACCGGCTACTCTCTGGAGATAGACACACTGATCTCCGCGATGTTCTGCATCGTCACCCCCATGCTGAACCCCTGATCTACAGCCTCCGCAATAAGGAGGTGAAGGAAGCCCTGAGAAAGGTTCTGAACTGCTGGAGGACAGTTTGAATCTCATTTCTGGCTCTCTGTAGGGCAGGCTTCACTGGAACATGTCTGCTGGGAACAGCGAAATTGATGAGTGGGAATTAATGAAGAGGGAGAAAGTATAGACACTGACAAAGCCAATGAGATAGACTTTCCTTATTATTATGGGTGGATAACACCTTCCAAGGCATGACTGGAATGTCAGGGTGGTAAGAGAGGGAGGAAGGGGAGGTGGGCTTTGCTTAGGGAGGCACCTCATTTGCTTCCAGCCCAAGGCTAAGAAATCTCATCTAACAGCTCTCCGGTTACAGTGTTTGGAGTGGGGCAATGGTAGCATCTTGAAACCAGGAACATTTTTTCCACTGGCTCCATTGTTTTGTTAGTTTTTGAGAGATAGGACATAGGGAGATGATAGGAAAAAGGTGTCTTTGTTGGAGACTCCAGCAGGTGGCAGCAGAGGGCAGCTTTGATGGCTCTGTGGCGTCAAGCCAATAGGAATTGCTAGGGTTTCTCTAGGCTTCCCTTTCTATGTAAATTTCAGCAATAGTGATTTCAGCCAGCAATGCTTTGTCCCATGAAACATCTTAGAAATACAAGATAATTCCCAAAATCCAAACTGTGTTTCTCCCCTACAGCCTGCATTCCAGCCTCCATTGGCCTTAGAATGTGCAGCTCTTGGAGACCCATTTACGTCCTTTTAATTCTCTGCGGCATTCATAGAAACAACCACCATGCTGTCAAGACGGCGGATTTGCAACTCCATAGGTTCAGCGCATGATCAAAGGTTACACACAGTTTAGAGTAAAACAACCAAGAGGTAATTATTAGCACATTTAGGAGCTTAGAATCCCTTTAAAAACTACTGTGGAAAAACCCCATGTTAGCAAGACATATTTAGCCATTTTTCCATTTTAAACCTTCATTAATACACAGGCATTTCCCATTTCTGTGTCAATTAAACCAGTTATACTTAAGAGGCCCCACCCTACAACATTGCTTCCAATCTCTTCTGCTGGGGGGAGAGATGACTTTTCTGGGCTTTTTCACCTTTCTTCCTTAGGGGATATGACAATATCTTTAGCACAGAGGGGCAGCCATAATCTGGGACCTTCCTTTGGGCAGACTCATAGAGTGGGAAGGCATCCCAAGAGTCATCTAGTGCAACCCCTTGCAACATGAGTGCTAGGACAGGTCTGTATTTTCTCCTGACAAGGTGGGCCTTGCTACACAACCACCCTCTCTACTCCCTGCCCACCTTCTCTGGCCCTGGGATCCTCCCACCTGGCTCTCCTCACTGGATCACCTGGAAGCAGCAGTTGACATTTCCATTCCACCTTAAGGAGCAGACGTGTGGAATTGTTGCGTGTCACATGTCTCTTTACATTCCGGCACAACTCGCTGGGAACTTCCATTGTGTGTATAGCTTTTGCTTTTGGCTGTTCTCTCTGAGACGACATGAGAGAGAGACGACATGTTTCTTCTGTCCTGATTTATGCTTAATAAATCTGTAGTTGTAGTATGCTTCCACAAGCCTCACGCCTATTCTGTGTGCACAATTTGATCTGCTGATAGTGTGCCCTGGCTCACAAGCAGGGGTCGCTGATTTACGTTGGGGCATAGGTGATGGTCTCCACAGCGGGATAACTGGAAGGAGACGGCCCAGCCGGGGCTAGCCAGCAGGCCATCCGGCCCTCTGCATGACGACACTCTGGTCCTGGGATCCTCCCACCTGGCTGTCCTCACGGGATCTCCTGGAAGCAACAGCAGATTCCCCAACTGAATGTCCCCACACCAGCTGTCGGGGTCCACATTGTAGCTGCTACTGTACATCAATCATCCAAGTTCACTCCAACCCAGAGCAAACATTTCAGGTTGGAGAGAGTGGGGAAGAAGGAGGGGTGGGGTTTGCTTAGTGAGACAACTTGCTTTCTCCTAATCCGAGGCTCATCCAACATGCCTCCAAGCAAAGTGTTTGGATGGTGACATCTTAAAACCATGAAGTTTTTAGAACTGGCTTCACTCTTTTATAAATTCTTTGAGAGATGAAACACCTTGCTGCAGTTGATGTGGCTGCCAATAGAGGACCATGCCAACTGTGTTGCTTGATGACCTCTTACATGTTCATGTATATGGCAAGATATATGTACAGTGGTACCTCAGGTTACATACGCTTCAGGTTACATACGCTTCAGGTTACATACGCTTCATGTTACAGACTCCGCTAACCCAGAAATAGTACCTTGAGTTCAGAACTTTCCTTCAGGATGAGAACAGAAATTGTGCTCCGGCGGCACGGTTGCAGCAGGAGGCTCCATTAGCTAAAGTGATGCTTCAGGTTAAGAACAGTTTCAGGTTAAGAACAGACCTCCGGAACAAATTGGGTTAAGTACTTAACCCAAGGTACCACTGTAATTATTTCCATATATAATTTTGCATGGAATTCCCGCCCTTTAGATTATTTGAGATTTATAGCCTACTCTTCATTATTCAAACATCTATTCCAGCACTCTTTGACCTGTTGGGTCACCCTTTCTCAGCTGGTTAAATTTATTCCCAAGTCAATTAAGGTTATTTAGTTTAAGTAATTCAACAGAATTTCTGGACCTGATGATTTGACTGGAAAGCTGCATTGCAAAATTTGGGGAGGTGTGGATTTAAATGCAAGCTGACTTGAATTTCTCCCCTGCTCTAAGATTCACCCATTTCTCCTTTGAACATAACTATTCCCTGACCCCCTCGGGTCCCACCCTGCACCCTTGGCACCAATGTTTTCTACCAAGACAAAAAAACCCCGGGGGAGAGATGTCTTTCCCTGCGCTGCTTCATCTTTCTTCCTTGTGACGCAAATGCACACCATTCAGGGCTCCTCAAACACTCAAGAACAGCCCTCTTCCCTGATAGAGCTGGACCCACAGGATGCAGGCAGGACACAGCCATGTTTGAGGGTCTCTGGTGGGGAGGCCAGCCATAACTTGGGACCTTTCTTTGGCAGAACATGAGTCCAAGGTGAAAGGTGGAGACCTTAAAACCCACCTAGTCTCTCTCTCTCTCCTTCTTCCATCTCTGGCCCGGGGATCCTTCTGCCTGGCTCTCCTCACTGGGTGACCTGGAAGCAGGAGCAGCATCTGAAACCAACGCTCTCTACAGCCTTCCAGGAACAGC